TCCTGTTATTTTATTTTGGGGTGTGTGTGTGTGTGTGTGTGTGTGTGTGTGTGTGTTTGCTGGTCTGTGCATGGTTAATCTCTTTAGGATTTGTAGATAGATATTGTTTAACTTTGGTTTTATTGTGGAATGTCTTATTTTCTCCATCTTTTGTGATTGAAAATTTCACTGAGTATATTATTCTGGGTTACCATCTGCGATTCTGTAGAACATGTGTCCAGGTCCTTCTGGCTTTCAGAGTCTCCATTGAGAAGTCAGGTGTTATTCTAATAGGTCTGACTTTATGTGTTACTTGGTCTCTTTTCCTTGCAGCTTTTAATATTTTTTCTTTGTTTGTATGTTTTAGTGTTTTATTATTATGTGTCAATTGGAATTTCTTTTCCGGACTAGTCTATTTGGTGTTCTGTATGCTTTTTATACCTTGATAAGCACCTCCATTTTAGATTAGGGACATTTTCTTCTATGATTTTGTTGAAAATATTTTCTGGTTTTTTGATCTGGGTTTCTCCACTTCTTCTATTCCTATTATTATTAGATTTGGTTTTTTCATAGTGTCTCTGATTTTTCTGGATGCTTTGTACATGGATTTTTGCTTTGTTTTGGTTTTTAGATTTCACATTTTCTTTGGCTGAGGTTTCCATTTCTTTTCTCCTGTGTTAATGCCTGAAATTCTCTCTTCTAGTTCTTGTACTCTGTTGGTGAGGCTTGCCTCTGAGTTCCTCTTTGAATTCCTAAAGTTTTCATTTCCAGATTTTCCTCAGTTTGGGTAGGGTTTTGTTTAGTTTTGTTTATTGACTTTCTAATTTAAGGTCTTGAACTGTTTTTATTTATTCCATTTTATTGTTTGTGTTTTCATAGATTTCTTTAAGGGATTCATTCATTTCCTCCTTAAGGACCTCTGTCATAGTCATCAAGGCTATTTTAAGGTCTTCGTCTTGTGCTTCAGCTATGCTGCAATTCAGGGGGTCTATTGTGGTGAAGTCACTGAGCGCTGGTGGAGACATTGTCCTGGATGGTTTTGATTGTATTTTTATGCTGATGTCCAGGCATCTGGGTTTGAAGTGATTGTAATTCTGGGTGCTGGTCTCTGGTCTTGTCTTTGTTGGGTGGGTGTTTTGTTTCTTAGTTTCTCTTGCCTGGTCTGGCTCTTAGGAGACTATGGTGGCTATGTGTTGCCTGGTAAGGAATTATTCTGGTGATGTTGATAGGTGTGGCCACAGGAAGTTCAGGACAAAATGTGTATCTAGGTTTTGGGAGCTCACACTTAGGAATGGGGATGGGCTAGAGAGGATCTGAGGGGGTCTACAGGAGGGAGGAAAGCAGAGTGTTCCACCAAGATCTCCTTAGTTCCCTGTGAATGAGTGCAGGGAGTGAGAATTGGACATAACAGGCAGTCTGCCTCAGAGCTGGGGATGAGACTGGGGAATTAGATTTAGAAAAGACCAGGAAGTGTGGAGATCTGAAGCTTGCCTACCTCCTTTGCTGGCCTGTTTGCTTCTCTGGCAGGCTTGGCTGGTGGGTTCTAGAAAAGAAACCTACTGGGAGCCTACTGGGGTTGGGTGTTGGGATAAGAAGAGGAAAGAAATGTTGGAAGAGAGGGTCTGTGTGATTCCCTAGAGATGGGGGCAGTGGATAGGGTGGGAGGAGAGGCTGCGGCAGGTGGTCTGATACAGAGCGTGAAATGAGACTAGAGCATTAGGATCACAGGAAGAAAGAGGTGGAGATCTGCATTTAGCCTACCTTTTCCCCTGGCTGGCATCCCACTTTCTAAATTCTAATGCATACAGCTGTGACCAACAGCTCTGGAAGTTGTACCTAACTGCCCTGCCTTCAAACACCACACATTTCGGTCTCTACTATTTATTAGGAAGATGTAGAATATTTTATCTTCTAAAATAGTAAGAAAAAACAAATAGGAAGTTGACCTTTTATATCATGCTTAAGGAATTGTTTTAAGGGATTTCTGACTTTCTCATGTCTCCTTAGTGACCGATCCAAGTTCTGAACCGCATTTCAGTGCCAACGAGGCTCTCATGGAAAATGTTTGCGTGTCTGTGCTGGGTCAGTTCATGGAGTTTGCTTGTGCTGTGGAGTGGTTGTAAATGAAGGAGGAAAGGAAGCTGCTTTTTTCTTAGCCAGAGAGGTAGAGTATCCATACACAGAGGAGAGGCCTGGGCTGTGCGGGCCACCTTTCCTGCAGTTGGTAGGATATACTTTGAAGGAAAGAAGAAAATGTCTTGTTGTAAGAAAAATGATGCCCTAAGAATAAACCATCTGTTCTCCTGTCTGGTGATTGTGGTTAAGGAGAGCAGCTGCTATCTGTTTCCTCCCCAACTGGAGTTGTTCCATCTCTGATGCTGGAAGCCACTGTAAACAATGAGACCTTTTTCTAAACATTTTCCGTTGTCTTCCCTGTTTCAGGCCGCACATCAGTCCATGGAACTGGCTTTATAGAAGGACTATTTTATTGTGATTTTTTTTTTGTCTTCTGGAAAGAGTCTTAGAGAAGGGAACAAGTCTGGTGTGTGTGAGGTGGAACATGGCAGCCACTAAGAGCAGGAGAAATAACTTCTGAGGTATAGGAGCTATGTGGCTTTTAGTAGCGCTGAGAGACTTTAGCCTTTTGATGGCTCTAGTTCAGGAAAGTTGAAGGTCAGATAGGATAGTGACATCTGGACACTAAGAAACCTAAAGGGTTTGGCAACTGATTCCACTCTTAATATTTCTTTTCTCAATAAATAAAAGGCTCTTTTTATCAAGTTACTCTCAGCCTGATTAGGCTAACACACTTAGTAACACTTAATTGCTTGCCCATAGACTACATGATCTATGGTTGAAGGATTAGGGCACTGTACAAGTTCAGGAGAAGCCGAAGAGCAATGAGGCAGCCAGGGCTCCTTGGCCAATGACTGTCTCATTGATCCTTTAGAAAGGGTTCGAAGTCATGTGGTTGGTTTTTTTTTTTTAATTTCCCTAATATGCAAATTGCATAACAGATTAGGTAATTTTGACAGATTAGGTGATTTAGCCCTCACAGGGCTGCTCCAACACGAACAGAAGAATCTTGGTGCATGCCTATGATACCTATAGTGGCGAGGACAAGGCAGGAAGGTCATGAGTTCTGGACTAGCCTGAGCTTCATAGGAGGCCCAATTTTAAATAATGTGAAAACTGTTGCCACTTTAAGCAAAGTGAATAAGATTTTAACTCCCTTCCATTTGTTTACTCTTAATAAGTATTTATGCTAGTAAATAGAAAAGCGAAGAAAACATGAAACAAATTTACAGTCTTTGATGCCATTTAACAGATGTTCCGAGAGAAGGCTCGAGTATAACTGTGCCCTAGAGGAATTTATCAAGAGTGGTAGCCCATAGAAGCAGAAGGTACAAAGGAGAAGAGATTGATGAAAAACAGCAAGCTATCTTTGAAGACGCCCCAGGTGCTTGCTATAGTTAAATAACTATAAAACCAAAGCCAAAGATTTCAATTAAAAAATAAAAACACAAAACACAGAGCCACTCCTTCCAAAATACAAGCAGACCCAGCTTCCCAAAGCCACCTGTAATGAAATTCCCAAGCAAGTGCTTTGTTTGTTTGTTTGGTTGGTGGGGTAGGTGATTGTCATGTTCAAGCTTGGGTGATAATCACCTTTAGTCTACATTGTAGACTCTACAGAGTAGCAATAAGTCCCAATCTGAGCTATGCAACATACTGTCATGGAAACCAATCTTTATCCCTTACCCAACCCCTCTGTGCTTCTGTTGGTGTGGCTAGAGAAATGGACACATCGTATCCATAAGGTTTTTGTATGAATGAAATGTACATTGCTTGGACCATTATCCTTACCTTAGTAACCGCTTGCCTTCATCGATGGAATAGTTCAGATAGTTCAATCTGTGAAATGAATAAGATCAGAGAGGTTTAAAAGAGCCAGACTACAGGGATCCTCTGTGCTGCTTACTGTTTGAAGTGCAATCTCATAGTTGCACAAGCCTCTTTCTTCTTTCACCTGCCTGGAATCATGCTAACCCCATGTGACTCAGTATAAAAAGTGTGGGAGGGTCCTGTGATAAAGATTTCTAGTATATTGCAGTTTGCCATTGCTTGACAAAATACTGGAGGTAACCAACAGAAAATGAGGACGTTTGTGTGGGCTTATTTTTTCAGAGTTTGTACTATGTAATCAAGTTGCCTCCACTGCTTTTGGGGGACTGGAGTTCACGTAGTACATTATGGGAGAAGCCTCGCAGAGGCTTGTTCCCTGACATCCAGAAAACAAAAGAGGAAAAGAAGGCTTCAAAGTCACGTATTCTAGGGCATACTTCCAATAATCTCATTGGGTCTGCTTCTAAAATATTCCACCGCCTCCCGTGTGCTAACTAGCTTTCTATAAGCTTGAGCTAGAGTCATTTGGGAAGAGTGAACCTCAATTTAAAAAAATGCCCCACCATGACCAGATTGTCTTGTGGGCAAGCCACTGGTGCCTTTTCTTGATTGATGATTGATGTGCTGGGGTAAACTTACGGTGGGCAGTGCCACTATTGAAGCCATGCTGTAAGAAGGTGGGCTAAGCAAGCCGTAAAGACCGTTCCAATAAGCAGCACTCTTCCATGGCCTCTGCGTCAGTTCTTGCCACCAGGTTCCTACCTTGAGTTCTGTCCCTGTCTTCCTTACATGATGGACCAACCACAAGCTGTAAGATGAAATAAACCTCTCTACCTCAACTTGCTTTTGGTCATGGTGTTTTACAACAGCAATAGAAAACCTAAGACAGCCCAATATTGCTAGGCTGGAGAACAAACATTTAACAGACTGTCACTTAAGGAAAGATTCCATGTCCAAATTTGAAATATTGAATAATTTGATACTGAAGCAATAGTGAAAGGAAAGATAAAATAAAAGAGATCTTCTGTTTCCCTATAGGAAAATTAAGAAGGCATTATGAATAACTGCAATCTTAATTCATAGCTTTATTTCATTTTCTTCTCTTTTTTAATAAGGCTGCTGTGGTACCGTCTGCCCAAACCCTTAAAATTACTGACTTCAGCTTCAGTGACTTTGAGCTGTCTGATTTGGAAACAGCGCTGTGTACAATTCGGATGTTCACTGATCTCAACCTTGTGCAGAACTTCCAGATGAAACATGAGGTAGGAAGGCAGTGGGGTGTGTGTGTGTGTGTGTGTGTGTGTGTGTACATGTGTGTACTCATGTGTGTATAAGACAGAGAATTGGATCTGACCACCAACATATAATGGGGGTTTTCAGTTTTACTGACTAGCATATTATTGCCTAAGGTAAACCATCAGTCATTAAAGATACATCTTTTTGATTCCTGCCATGTATCAGGCACCAGGTTGAAGAATGCATGAGGATCTTACTCAAAGCAATGGCAATAGTGCAAAATCAGGTAGCAGGAGATTCAGGGTAGGACACGGGTCAAGGGGGAGGGTGGCCAGAGAAGCAACTGGAAAGATGAGCAGTGGAACACATAGACTGGTAAGCCATCAAAGAGCACTGTCCTGGCTGTCCTGGCACCAGGGGTGACTCACTTAAGAGTTCAAAGCAGGGAAGTAATGTCATTGCCAGGGTTATAACTAACAATGCAGAATGGACCAGGGCCAAAGGTGCCTGTTGTAGGGCCAGACTCCTCAAACAACGTCATCTGTGGAGCAGAAATAAGAGCCAGTCTCCAAATATAGATTTCCTATCTAAACATTTACAGGTCTTCAAGGTTTTCATTACTTAGCCTTCCATTAATTAATTCGTATGGTGAAAAGTTACTCAGTGTTCTGTGTGATTCCAAAGATGAGTTGACCATGCTCTCAGAGACCTCATGGTATGGAAAGAAAACTAAGGATGAATATTACTAAGGTTAGTAAGGTGTTGTTTGTGTTCTTAGAGACCCCAATCTAATTATGTTTTTAAATTTAACCAAAGTTTATATTACTTTTTTTTTTAGATGAAAACCAAAAATATAAATAGGCTAATGATAACACCCAGAGCTCTTGTCTGGGTGTTAGTTAAGGGATATCATGTTCAATTATTCCAACAAGCTCTTGTGAATAAGTCCCATTCACAGGTGAAGAACCCAAACCAGCATGCAGTAGAAATGTCAGGGATGTCAATCATAGCTCTCTTGATCAGCACAAATTCACTCTGGCCGTTTATCTCGGACGCCTCAGTTTCCACACCTCTTAGAGTAAATGATGTTGTTACCCTGTGGGAGTCCGTGTGAGTTATCTATGCATCTGTACATTACATGTTTGTGTATATTACGTGTGCTTGTACTATTCCTCTTAATCCACAGATATTGAGAGTGCATCAATTATTCCACCTTTAGACAAAATTTGACTAAATCACCATCAAATTTCTCCACTTTACAAGATAGGACTCACTTTCAAAGTCTGCTCCGTGGGGTTCAGAGGTTAAGAGCACTGACTGCTCTTCCAGAGGTCCTGAGTTCAGTTCCCAGCAACCACATGGTGGCTCACAACTATCTGTAATGGGATCCAGTGCCCTCTTCTAGTGTGTCTGAAGATAGTGATAGTGTAGTCACATACATAAAATACATAAATCTTAAAAAGAAGAAGGAGAAGAAGAAGAGGGAGAGGAAGAGGGAGAAAGAGAGGGAGAAGAAATTTGCTCCATGAATGTGGTAAGTTCACATCTGGAGTTAGAAGCCCTACACTACATGTGGATCACAGTTTTACTTAATACCTTGATCAAATCCATGTGTTCCTGGAGTGTCCACATCTGTAACTAACAATGACTCTACTCCAATGGCTTGGCTAGAACACAGGAATGCGATTTTTTTTTGTGACACTCTTTGTTGATTTTGCTTGGCTGATAGGTAGGTAGCATTTGAGGACTGAGTAATGCAGATTCTCACTCAGTTTCTCTAGCAATCATTTCCTTGAATTCTTACCCATAGGAAAAATACTCCTCACCAACTTTTCTTTTCTTTTTTTTTTTATTTAACCTCTATCTGAATGTAAAAGAAACAAACATAGATAATGTCAGTGTCTCTCAAAGAAACACATGAGTAAAGTAGCCAGGCAAGACAATTTCTTTTTGCAAAAAAGTGGAGATGCAGACTAGGCCATATACCATACCAGGGCAAGGAGTGCACTAGGTATTATTCTAATGCAGATGCTGACTGTGTATTTTCCCCACTGGCCATTCTGGCTTCACTGTCTTTGGGACTGGTTGGTTTTAAAAGGGTCAGGAAAGGGATGGGCCGCTCCTTGACACAGGAACAGGAGCCCCTTTGGATAAACAAAAGCTTTACCAGGTGGATGAGATTAATAGATTTGCAGAAAAGTTGAACAAGATGGGGGGGAGTGGGATTAAAAGATTTTAATTCCTTTACATAAACCTTTAACAAGGTGAAAGACTTTTATGGAATATGGGCGCTCCATGGGCTAAATAACTTAAATGAAAACAAAACCAAACCGTATTTGTTTACATTTATTCTGGGCAACGTCAACCTGGGCGTTAGGATTATTATGGTTAAATTTCCTGCCCTACTATCTGGTCTTCTCCTTTATTTCAGGTTTTATTGTCAATATAATTTTAGATGGAGAAAAATAAAATTCCTTGCTAGAGGGGATGCCCCTACCAAGACGACTCACACTGAACAACAAATCTTCAGTATTAATTTATGCTGACGGCAGCCATGGCCTGTTACTGACCTCTGAAACCTTCCATGGCCTGTTACTGACCTCTGAAACCTTCCACTTTATTAAGACAACACTTGTTGATTGTATTTCCACTTCTGTCCTTTCTGTCTCTGTCCCCTGAGCTGCCCTTGCTTGCTATACCTCTGTCACTGTCACTGGGGAACAGGTCCTTTCTTCAATTTCTTAGTCACATAGAAAATGAATTTTTAAACGGACTCAGAAACTTGAGGATCCTTTTACTGGAGTTTGAGAGAAATCGCAGGGACGGTAATTTGTGGATCTCAGCACTGCCAGGAACAGAGGGAGAGAGACCTCAGTCAGGCTTTGTGAGGGGGAGATCCAGAGCCCACACAGGCTCAGCAAGTCTGTGAGCAGCTATTGGAGTTGGGGGTTTTCAGAAAAAGAAAAATGCCCAGTGACAGGGCAAGCAGCTTTAGGGTTTGGGTCAGTTTGGTTTGGAAAGAGGAGATAGGAAGAGGGGAAATGTTATCCTCCTTGGATTAGAAGTAGGCAGGCGTAGCAGTGAGTTTGTGATCACTGCATGGTGACAATGACTTCTGGGGTCCGTGAGTCTCCTCCTTTCTTAACTTGTGCCTAGGTCCTTCATCTTCCCCTCCTGGCAGTAACTGTACCCTTGAGACTGTCTTTAAGACTGTCCCTTGTCACAGGCAGTCTTTGGCCTTCCTCAAGGAGTATTATCAACTACCAACCAAGCCTCTTCACTGAGAGTTAACCTGAACTGTGTTTCAGAGCCTAAGCAGGAGCTATTGCAACAGTTCTCCCTCCCCCAGAGACTCAGGAGATGGGGTGCAATGTGCTGTGACAAGAGGGGCCCATCCTCAAAAAGCTCCAAGCCTCATACGTTTTATCAAATTCCTAAATAAATTCCTAAATTTATTTCAATTGCAGGGTATGTATACATAATTCAATAGCAACACCTTTACATTTTTGAACTAGTGAAAGATGTTTGCAGGCACCGAATTTGCAGTTTTCCTGATTATTTTTCTTGCTGCTTTAATTAATCACAAATAGTTTTCTACATGATGCCAATTCGTCCTCTCAAAACACATCAAAGTAAAACTTGTGGCTTTCTTTTAAAATCCTCCTGCTGTGGCTGATCTGTTATCTTCGCACTGTTTGACTGTTCAGAAATGTCCAGAGTAAGGAGACTAGTCCTGAGATGTCCAGGCTCAGGGAGAACACACCCACTGTGGGCACACAAATGTACTTACGCTAGGGCAGCTCCCAGGGCCCAAAGCTCAGAGATCCCAAGGTTCTTTGGGGTGGAATTCCCTGTGAACTGAACCGAGAACTATAAGAAAAGGTCTTCTGGAGAAAAGGGATCATGCCAAGTCCCCTGTGATTGAGCAGTTTCTATCAACAGGGGGGAGGTTCCCACTCAGCCCCCAGAGCCAATCAGTCACAAGGATGGACACTTGCCATTCTTTTCCCGTGTATTTTTACCAATCCCAAGGCGATGCTCTTTGAGTTTTCGATATCCCCACGGACACACTCAAAGAAAGTGCATGCTTGCTTCTACAAAAACGTAGTAAATCATTGAGATTTTTAAGAGAAGCAGACTGATAACACAAGCAGAATCACCATGCTCAGATCATGAGTCCCTGAGGGTTTTATTTAATATTCCCCTTAGAAGTTAAATTAAATCCAACTTGGAAGACTTGCTTGGGCAATTTTGCCTTTTTCCCACTTCCCATGTTTTAAAATAATTTTTTTCCTTATGTGTCCCAGGAGATTTATACAGTATCTTCAAATTTTGATTTCTTGCTAGCCAGGCATCAAGTGCATCAGGCAGAACCTACACTATAAAGATCTAATGAAGAAGGCATTAATATCTGTAATTCTAGTTTGTCCTGAAACTTGAGCTAGATATGTCAGTCCCAGCCCAGCTTAGATCTTTGGACTAAATACCTTCACAAGTGCACAACACGAGAACATGAGAGAACTCATTCCCTGACATCCATGCACATATGACTCTGGATTCTAACAATGACAGGGAAGTATTTTTTTTATAAAGGTAGTTGGTGTCCTACCTATGACAAAATACCTGTCTTTGAGATGTTACCTATTATTATCTAACTTAACTAGGTCTGCTTGGTAGGTTTTTGTTGCAATGGCAATATTTTAATTCTGGCCCCACCCCTAATGAACAACCACCAATCACAGGTTGCCTGTTTGAGAGTTGGTTTATTTCTCTGTAAAATGATCAGAATGGTCATCTGTGCCTCCCTCATGTTTGTAGGGATTGAACTTGAACACTGCAGGGTACCTGGAACTTAGAAAACGTGTGACTAACTTGGCCATTACTTTCTCTTCTTACGCTCACTTCTTACAGGTTCTCTGCAGATGGATTTTAAGTGTTAAGAAGAATTATCGGAAGAACGTTGCCTACCACAATTGGAGACATGCCTTTAACACGGCACAATGCATGTTTGCTGCCCTGAAAGCAGGCAAGATTCAGGTACTTCACGGAGCCACTCAGATTCCTGCTCAGTGGAACCGACAGTGTATCTTTTCAAATTATTATAGTGATCGAATAATTTACCAAATAATGACTCAATTAGCACAGCACAATAGTTGGCCACTAACTTTCTTTGATTTGTAATAAATGTTACTTAGTAAAATCCCCTAACGTCATGTTACATTTTAGTAATCCTTGGGCAAATAAATATTTCCATCAGAGGAAGACCGTGAAAGAAAAACATTACATGTCTCATCTCACGGTCAACTGCTCCATGGTAGAATTAACTCAAGAACCACCAAATGCCATCATAGATGAGCTCACTGCCCTTCAGACTCTGTGTGGAGGGCTGTCGCTTCTATTAATGCTATTTCAGACAGGGTTTGTTTCACGTGCCTTGATCAGAGCCAAAGTAAAAGGAAGATCAGTGTAGAAAACACACAAAATATCCATTTCCAACCACATCCTATTCTATCTCTGTCCTTAGAGTCCATCTTCAGAGGGAACTGACTAGTCATTCTAAGTAGGCTATCCTAGGCGTCTACTACATAATTCAAATTCAGAGACTCCCAGTTTCAAGCATAAATTTAAAAAATATTATTCTCTGTCAAATATCCTCCTTTCATAGGTTATACATTTTAAGTGGCTGGTTTTTAAAGAAATGACTAGGCTTGGGTTCGCCTTAGTGATCAAACACTGGAATACCATGTGTAAAGCCTTGGGTTTGATTGCAGAACCATTGTCTAAGAAGCCATACAAAATAACACAGCAGTTATTTTACCGTATAGGAAATTTTCTAAGGAAAGGGTAAGCTTCCCTTGGGTTGGCCATGAGTCTTAGGATTTTACCACTACAAAAAGCCGCCTGTGCTTCTTGTGATGAAGAACAAGATGACCGTCTTACACATGCTCCAGAGCTGACGGCGCTGGGCATTTCCATAGGCTAGAGGAGTCTGGCCGTTTAACTTGTGTTTCATATACTGTGTCACTGACGACCGGCATAGTACTGTGAATGATATAAATGACAAGCACTCAAACATAACTGATACATAGCCTAGAAACATGTTATGCAAGGTTTGAAAGCCATTTTTTTCCAGTAATTCCATTTCTACTATTTTATTTAATAGTCATGTTGTTTCAGTTACTTAGCAGTATAGCAGCAGATCATAGGGAGCAAAACAAAAGAAAAAATATTAAAGTGTGTTGCAATCATTCCACATACGTAAACATAAGATTCATGACATTAACTATGGGTGCATAGAGTGTTCTTTTTCTTTTTTTACTTAAAAAATTATGTAGTGTCAGTATGTGCTGATGTGTGTATATATCATGGCACAGGTGTAGAGGTCAGAGGACAACCTCAGGAGATGGGTATGTCCTGCCTCTGTCTGTTACCAGACCTGAACCCCTGTTACCAAGCTTGTCTATATAGCAAGCACTTTTATCCTCTGAGTCAGCTTACTGTTCCCAGATTATTCATTTTTGAAGCATTTCAATTCTTTCTGTTGTTCCGTGACATTCATAGTAGCTCATTGTGAATGACAACATGAACGGTCACCTGCAGAGTAGAATGTCTGGAGAGCGCTCTGAGACCACACACAAGTACAGGAAGGAATCCTGAGAAGTCGTAGGAGAACGCCCTGCCCCACGCTTTATCTCTTTCCTTCAATGCCTTTGCACACAGAACAAGTTGACGGATCTGGAGATACTTGCGTTGCTGATTGCTGCTTTAAGCCATGATTTGGATCATCGTGGTGTGAACAACTCATACATACAGCGGTAAGATGGCTTTGCCAACAAAACAAGAAAATGTTTCCTCTGCATTACTGAACTGTACTTTTTTAAGTTAAAGCTACCAAAAAAAAAAAAAATGAGATGAAGAATACAAAGAGTAAATTGGCCAAGTTTCTTTACATAGTCTGGCTAGGTCTAAGGAAAACGGGAAATGAATGCAGATATCATACTGTACTGATTACATTTCAGGCCTGAAGTTCAAGTCAGTCCATACATGCACATAGCTATTACTCCCTGCCTATTTCAGAAAGGAACAACATGTTATTAGTACATATCCTGGTTTTTTTTTTTTTTTTTTTTTTTGGAGAAATTGCTCTCTTGTTGCTCTATGTAAGTGAAAAATAAGAAAAATTTGCAACTCTATTCTCATTTAAATTCTTTTTAAAATTAATTTATTTTTTATTCTTTTTAAATTTTTTATTGGATATTTTATTTACATTTCTGATGTAATCCCCTTTCTCCATTTCTCCCCACCTAGGAACCCCATATCCCATCCCCCCTCTTCCTGCTTCTATGAGGATATGCCCCCACCTACCCTCCCATTCCCACCTCCCCACCCATGATTTCCCTCACACTGGGGCGTCCAGCCTTCACTGGACCAAGGACTTCCTCACCCACCTATGCCTGACACTGTCATCCTCCCCTACATATACAGCTGGGGCCATGGGTCTCTCCCTCTGTGCTCCCAGGCTGGTGGTTTAGACCCTGGGAACTCTGGTTGGTTGGTATTGTTGCTGTCTCCATGGGGCCGCAAACCCTTTCAGCTCCTTCAGTCTTCTCTCTCACTCCTCCATTGGGAACTCCATGATCAGCTCAATGGTTAGCTGTGAGCATCCACCTCTGTATATTTGAGGCTCTGGCACACCTCTAAGGAGACAGCTATATCAGGCTCCTGTCAGCATGCACTTCCTGGCATCCATATCAGTGTCTACCTTTGGTGACTGCACAAGGGATGGATAACCAGGTGGAGCAGTCTCTGGATGGCCCTCCCTCAGTTTCTGTCTCATGCTTTGTCTCCATATTTGCTCCCATGAGTATTTTGTTACCCCTTCTAAGAAGGGCCAAAGCACCCACACATTGGTCTTCCTTGTTCATGAGTTTCATGTGGTCTGTGAGTTGTATCTTGGATAGTGCGAGCTTTTTGTACTAATATCCAATTATCAGTGGGTATGTACCATGAGTGTTCTTCTGTGATTTTGTTACCTCACGCAGGATGATATTTTCTAGTTCCACCCATTTACCTAAGAATTTCTCGAATTCATTGTTTTTAATAGCTGAGTAATATTTCATTGTGTAAATGTACCACATTTTCTGTATCCATTCTTCTGTTGAAGGACATCTGAGTTCTTTCCAGCTTCTGGCTATTGTAAATAAGGCTGCTATGAACATAGTGGAGCATGTGTCCTTGTTACATGTTGGAGCATCTTCTGGGTGTGTGCCCAGGAGTGGTATAGCTGGGTCCTCAGGTAATGCTATGTCCTATTTTCTGAGGAACCACCACACTGATTTCCAGAGTGGATGTACCAGCTTGCAATCCCACCAACAATGGAGGAGTGTTCCTCTTTCTCCACACCCTCGCCAGCATCTACTATCACCTGAGGTTTTAATCTTAGCCATTCTCACTAGTGTGAGGTGGAATCTCGGGGTAGTTTTGACTTGCATTTCCCTGATGACTAAGGATATTGAACATTTTTTTAGTGCTTCTCGGCCATTCGAATTTCCTCAATTGAGAATTCTTTGTTTAGCTCTGTACCCCATTTTTAATAGGATTATTTGGTTGCCTGGAGACTAATTTCTTGAGTTCTTTGTATGTATTGGATATTAGCTCTCTATCCGATGTAGGATTGGTAAAGATCTTTTCCCAATCTGGTGGTTGACATTTTGTCCTATTGACAGTGTCCTTTGCCTTACAGAAGCTTTGCAATTTTATGAAGTCCCATTTGTCAATTCTTGATCTTAGAGCATAAGCCATTGGTGTTCTATTCAGGAACTTTTCCCCTGTGCCTAAGTATTCAAGGTTTTTCCCACCTTCTCTTCTATTAGTTTTTGTGTATCTGGTTTTATGTGAAGGTCCTTTATCCACTTAGACTTGGGCTTTGTACAAGGAGATAAGAATGGATTGATTTGCATTCTTCTACATGCTGACCTCCAGTTGAACCAGCACCATTTGTTGAAAATGCTTTCTTTTTTCCACTGGACAGTTTTAGCTCCTTTGTCAAAGATCAAGTGACCATAGGTGTGTGGGTTCATTTCTGGGTCTTCAGTTCTATTCCATTGATCTTCCTGCCTGTCTCTGTACCAATACCATGCAGTTGTTTGTTTGTTTGTTTGTTTGTTTTATCACTATTGCTCTGTAGTACAGCTTGAGGTCAGGCATGGTGATTCCTCCAGAAGTTCTTTTATTGTTGAGAATAATTCTCACTATCCTCGGTTTTTTGTTATTCCAAATGAATTTGCAAATTTCTCTTTCTATCTCTATGAAGAATTGATTTGGAATTTTGATGGGGATTGCATTTAATCTGTAGATTGCTTATGGCAAGATGGCCATTTTTACTATATTAATCCTGCCAATCCATGAGCATGGGAGATCTTTCCATCTTCTGAGATCTTCAGTTTCTTTCTTCAGAGACTTGAAGTTCTTGTCATACAGATCTTTCACTTGCTTGGTTAGATTCACACCAAGATTCTTTAAAAATAGTTACAATTAAACCATTTTTTAATCTATTAAATTTTGTTCATCTAAAAAAATTACTCAGAAGAACCTCTGGAGAGATAGCATCTTCTCTCTAGGTAAAAATTCCTGGGTCTGGAGTCTTGAGGGCAGGATGTGGGGGCACGTAGATTGTAGAATCTTACTTTCATACACACAAAGTAGTAACTCTTGAAAAAACTAAAGTAGCTCAGAGACTTTTATTTCTTCCCACATCACTGTGCTTTGAGTACAGGAAAACAAAACATTTTCTTTCCTGACTGGTAATAACCGGTACTTAAAGTAGGACTGGTAAGTGAGACACTTAATGTGTCAAGCGGACACTTGAGGTGGAAAAGTCCTGTAAGCATTCCATATAAAGTTATTTCTTCTAGAGAGGCATACAGTACCAGATCCCATAAGATGTCCAGAGTGACAGATAATAAAAAATATAAAAAGAAGGTACAGAAATAAGAGCAGTTAGTCAGAGAAAGGTGATATTCATTGGTGAAGGAATCGGAGACTGAAATCTTCCTCCTTCTTAAATGACTTTGAGGAAGCTACTTTGAAGTAAGGCTTTCCTAGGGTAGGAGGCTATCCCCTTGGACCATTGTTGGCTTCCTTGCTTCCTTCCTTTATTAGGAAGACTAAGGTCACCAGGGAGTCCACTGATATCCTGTGCTCTATTTAAGGGCACTGCTTCCATGGACTCTTCGTGATGAGAAGGAAGGAGGAATTCTCTTGGACAGATGTGAACTGTGAGCATGAGCGCTCGTGTTGACTGTGGTTGCAGTTCAGTGGATAGAGTGCTTGCATAAGCATGCACAGAGCTCTGCTTTGACCCCTAGCACCATGGAGACCAGACTTGGTGATGATACACTCAGGAGCCAGAGGCAGGATGATCAGGCAATGCTCAAGGTTAACCTCAGTTACATAGCATGTGTGAGGCTAGCCTGAGCTACATGAAATTCTGCCTCAAAACAATAAAACAAAATGAGTGGGTGGTTAGAACACAGTAGCTAACGTACAAACATTCCCTCTTTTTGAAGTTATAAAACATATATTACATAGAGAAAGTTTCTGCATCAAACCTGTGGTTTATAGCATAGGATGTGCATGTGTGTTTTATTAGCTTTGTTTCAAGTCCAGTGATTGATTATAAAATGATTCATCAAAAATCATGCTATATGTTGGGCTCGTGCATAATGAATAATTGCTAGAGCTTTGGTTCTTTGCTAGTGACATATACAATGCAGTTCCTGACCCCTGAAATGTCAGTGACAGAAATGATCTACCAAGTCCTGCGTCATCTGATGCAGTAGACTTCAAATGTCCATAAGAGAAGGAGATTGGCCGAGCAAAGTATAGTCCATCTCCACTATTCACAGAGAAAATGAGACTAAAGCTAGATCTGTAGTGGGGGTGGGTTGTCAGAAAGAGTACAAAGGCATTCCAGGATGCTGTGAAGTGGGCACCTCACAGAACAGTAGTGGTAGACCAGCCAGAAAATAAACAAGCAGGAGCCACAAGATGGCTCCTTCCAGGGAGGGGTGCAGCACTACGCAGCATGTAGTAAAATCGATAGGATTTGTTAAAAGGAACTGTTGCCATAGGCAATAAGAACATTTCCTAGGAAGAAGTCACAGCGTGAACCACGTGGTAAGTAGGTTGAAATTAGAACCACAGAGCTCAATTAGAGAACTGCCTCCAGAAGCCAGTTATAAACCGCCAGTCACACTGAGTGGAGGGGGCCAAAGGAAAGATGCTGACTTCGTGAAGGGAAGGGAGTTATATGTATCAAGGGGGGGAGAAAAAAAATCACGACTTCTAGTCTGAAAAACTGGAGCAATGGTGAAGTGATGAGCGTGAAGAAGCAGTCATAGGTTACAAAGCTGTGGAGATTCCAACCCAGGGTCCTGCACACGTGACAGGCAGAGTCAAGAACATCCGTGGTAGCCTGGGTGACAGCACTGTTTTTCCTCACAGGACATGTATTTTTGAATCAATTTCTAAGGCTTTCTGTTTCTTGTATATTTCCTAATGCCACTGTTCGAGCTAGACCAAGGTCTGTGGAGGATAGAGGAAAAATGCAGAGAAACTGTGCAGTCAGCAATGCTCACTGACGTCAGTGTGGGCAGAGTTCCACAGCGGCAGTGGTTTGCATAGGACCTTCTGATGTGGCCTTAAATAGAGGTGACATGAGTACATCGGTTTCGTGATTTTTTTTTTTTTTATAAACAGGAAATCCGAGACATTTTCACCCATTGCTTGATTCACAAATTTGTATTTTTAGAATGTAAGTAGAGACAAACACATTTTGGCATTTGTCTGTCTCACAAGACAAACATCGTCTCTACTGTGAAGCAGTTCTTTCTGCCTCACCTAAAAAATGTGAAGAACGTTTGAAGTTCCAACTGGTTCGTGTTCTGTCCACCTAACTGCATTTCCTGGACCAGCTCCTAACTCTGTCAGTGAGTAGACACTGCGTAGGGCCCTGTGGCACCACCACAGTGTAAGGCGATGCGAGGAATACTTGAACCCCAGGCCTGTCGTTTATATCACCGTTGAAAGAGTGACATAGTCTCTCGGAACATTTGGTCATCTAAAAACACATGCAGAAATGCTCATTTGTAACAGTCTCAGCCTAGGTTCCTCTGAAACCCTGATTTGAGATTAAAAAATTGGTGTATGCCTAGTTTATTAGTGAATATGACCCGACCCCCAGGAGCAGAAAGAAAGGCCTGGACTGACGGATGGAGAGAGAGATTATCCTGATAGGCACATGTTTGAGCAACTGGTACTCAATTCTGTCAGAGGTGATTTGGAGGAACCTTATGGAAGGAAACCTGGAGCCACTCAGCCTTAAGGCAGAAGGCAGTAGGTCCCCTCATCCCTTAGTCAAAGGTGGTTCCCAGCCTTATCTCACCTACACTGACAGTGTGAGGACAGTTCACTCCTGTGGACACCAGCCATGGGGTCAGATGAGAGGTACCCAGAGTGGGCCAAGATAAGGTAGAGAGCTTTCTGATTGGCACCAGTGTCAAGCCTGTTAAAGGTCGAAGGAAACACTATATCTGTCTGTGGCTGAAAGAAGAGGTGGGGGTGAGGATTCTGATTCAGTGCTTATACAGTGAGATACAATAATAATAAACCAGGTAGCACAATGCCTGCCATGTTACAGGCTCCTGCTAAATGGAAACTGTTCTCACTAGGGAAAACAAATGTCAGCAGATTCCAAAGGTTTACAGTCTGGTGTGGTGAAAGATTTATAAGCAGCTAACACCAGCTGAACACATCGGATGCTAAACTAAGGGTGTAGCCTCCAGCTTCTATTTCAAGTTGTGTGTCTTAGGTTTATGTGAGAGTTGGTTGGTTAGTTGGATGATAGGTTCCAGGACAGACAGGTTCCCACCTTGTATCCTGGCCTCTAACTAAAGCTCTCCCAGCCTGTGTCCATCGGGTAGCACCCTGCTTTTCTGCTCTTTACTTCTTGTGTAAGTGAGAATAACAGACACCTAAAAGCTTTTCCTTTCACTATGCCTGAAGTGGATGGGGGAGGTGCCCATTGTGCTTGTAAAGTTGTCTTCAATAGGGGAGAGCAGAGAAGAATAGAGAGTCGGTGGAAAGATCCAGAAGAGAGGTCATCCACCCTCCTTATCTTAGCCTGTTCACATTGCAGGACGTGTCCCTGCTGGCTCCCGTGTGATCCAACTCCAGAACAGCTAGCAGATAACTCTCCCCCACTTCCTTCTGGCTGCCACCTCTTTATCCGAGGCACCCTTGAGCCCTTCCAAGTACACGGCAGTGCCCTAACTGACCCCAGGTCGGCCATACACCACAGCAAACCCTTCCAACAAACCCGTTGATGTGATTCAGCTCACTGTCTGCTCAATTTCTTATGTTGAACACAGTTCCTGATCATTAAGTACAGATCATTAAGTAGAGGCAGAGTGGAGATCAGTACACGAGGACTGAGTCAGGTTACGACAATAGGAGCATTAAATCTGCAAGACAGGTGACGCTTTAAATAGGAACAGGCAACATCACCCACTCACCCAGTCTTCATCTGCAGCTTGGGCTTTCCCATAAGCATCTGTCTGGTTTTCATTCTAACCAGTTTTTTTCAGGGCATCTTGTTAGCTCTGAGTAGCTTGCTTTTATTTATTTATTTATTTATTTATTTATTTATTCATTTATTTATGAACAAATAAAATGGAAAACAACACACTTGTGAGGAAATAGCAAACTGTTCATATTTTTGGCACGACCATGGGGCTTTGTATTTCATAAGCCCCATTCCTATACATGTGAAGAGCCGTAAGTTACAGGATCCTCTTGTCTCTTGAAGAAGGAGTCCTGGAAAGGAATGCGTTGCTTTTCACAAGTGAAAGGTCGTGAGAAATGAAGTGGAAGGCTTCCTGTCGTGCAGTAGAAGCCCCTTTGTGGCTACTGTCCCACACATACAGTAAACAGTGCAGTAAATACCCTTCCCCCACAATTTACCCAGCAGGAAGTCTTGGATGCTTCTCCCAAGTTCAGCTTAGAAAGCTTGTGGGCTGTCCTGCTCAAACAACCCTGTGACTCATCTTCTCCTGCTTTCCTAGTCCCCTGCATGCGAGCGCGCGAGCACACACACACACACACACACACACACACACACACACACACACTCCTCCTTTCCAAGGCTATGTACGTACTGCCCCCTCTCTTTGTCTTGATTTCCATCATCCAGACCCCGTGGATGCCCTCTCAGTGGATAGTTTCCTTACATGTAGGCCCGGTGAATAAGCTACCCTTCTGCCTGAACATCTTTTCAGAGGAAAGGGCAACACGGATTTGTTCTAGACTTTTTTAAGTCAGTTGCAGTGCTGGGACCTGAACACTAATACAGTAACAGGTATTCTGGGGTAGTGCAAGGCTATGCCAAGGGCTGGCAGTCTCTGGCCTTACTCCCCATATGCTGTGTTTCCACATTTCAAGCCAGTGAGGCTGCCCTTTGACCAGGCAGCATGATTCTTTGAAAATAGTTTACGTCAGTAGTTATTTCTGAGAGATTACCCCCCACTCTCCTCGGCAGGGGAGAAAATGATTAGTTTGTTTTTTGAGATAATTTCACTTAATAATAATCATAATTGGTGAAGTAACATGTTTAGGAACGCTTTCTTCCTTTCTTTGTTCAACATAATCACTCCCAGGAGCGAGCACCCGCTGGCCCAGCTGTACTGCCACTCCATCATGGAACACCATCATTTTGACCAGTGCTTGATGATTCTAAACAGCCCAGTAAGTATGTCATTTATTGTTGTGAGTTTCAAAAGAGAGCTTTATACATGCAGTTGTATTTTTAGGTTTTGGACTTATTCCCGGCATCATAAATTCTTGAACATTCTCTACTCCTTTTTGGGTAAGGAAGGAAGAGTCCAAACATTCTACAGCTTCACTTCTGTGGGCTGTAAAAAAAAAAAAAAACGATCTAATGTTGCCCACGAGGGAAATTCGATCACTGACCTTTAATTACTCCAAACTAGAAACCAAGCTGGTATTTTATGGCTCCTGCTTAACTTTTTAAACAAATGAAGTGGTATGTATAGATCAGTATTTGTTTCTTCTCCTCCTCCTCATCCTCCTCCTCCTCCTCTTCCTCCTCTTCCTCCTCCTCCTTCTTTTCCTTTTGGTTATGCTAGGATTGAACTTGAGGCCCTGTGCCTGCTAACCAGGAGCTTTGCCAGACAGCTTTCCTCCCAGCCATCTCTCTGTTTTATTAGAGATTCTAGCTGCTCACAAACCATTTTGTTAAGGGACGAGAAAGCTATTCGACAACCTGGATAAGTGAATATTTGTAAAATACATGATACAGTTTGCTAAGTAAACACAGACATTTAAGGAGCATAACATTAACAAATAACATGTTCCCATGATCTGTTGTCTACCTGTGTTAATTTTATAAGGAAAAAAAGAGAAAGTTCTTAACTATTACACTGAACAGTCATAATGCATGATAGCATATGTCTGTGCTCTTTCCTGGGGACGACTCGCTGCTCTCACCATATGGATTACTCCCTCTTAAGCTTTCCTGACAGACCTTTGAGCTCATGCTTTCTTGGGTCACCAACTAGTAAAGCACCTTTGGCTCAGGCCTGCTAACCATCTACCATTGTCATGTTGATAAGGAACACATAAAAGTCTCAGTATTGGTTAAGGTCTATAAATATGAACCAGCAATGTCACTAAGTTTGCTTCAGAAGCCACAGAGGAGTGTCTCTTTACTAATCTAAAAATTTCACAACTCTATTCTTCATTTTCATTCATTCATTCATTCATTCATTCATTCATTCATTCATATTCATATGATTTGAGTTCAATCTGCCCAAATGGCCATTCCGGGACAATATTTCACGCTATGCTCGATCTCTTCCTTCATTGCCTCTGCTTGAATCTCCTGCTCCTTACTCTGTTTCTTCTAACTCCTTCCTTACTCCTAAGCCTCTGTGTAGTTCTCTACTTCACCAGCCAGAGAACAAGGAAGCAGAGAGCCCAGAGGTCTGGCCATTCCTAACAGACTGACATTGCTGAGTGCCCAACTCTTTGTGCCTGGTGGGTGATGGTAGTGTCATCGTCCCTGCAGGGCACTCTCACTGTGGAGATACCCCACAGCAGCTACCGAGTGGCCAGCCAGTCTGGTCTTGCCTTTTAGATTTCTTGGGCAGGATGCATCACACAAATCCTTTCTAGTCCCACCTCCTCATGGAACACAGAAGACATAAACACAGATCTCTCCTACTTGAGGCAAAGGGAATGCTTACCTCTTCCCTAACACCTTAGTGTGACTAAAAGCTAAGAAGCATGCAGCTTGGAGTGTAGCTCAGGGCTGGAGTGTGTTTTGCATGTGTAAGGCACTGGGTTATACCTCCAACACTGTTTTTAAAAAGTTACACGTTTGGCTGCCTCCTATGAAAATTTATATAAGATTTAATAGCGTTTGCTGTAACATGGAGCGTGAACTCATTGATATGTGATTGGTATCATTTTAACGCGTTGTGTTATGGGAATAACGTACATGTTATTATAGGAAACTGTTACATCCTGGCATTCACTAAGAAAGTATTTGGAGAGTGAGGATCAGGCCATTGTACCTTCGTCTCCCGGCTACGTGAGGCTCTGGGCACTGCTTCACTTTCACTGGTCAATTCCTGTCCGCACTGCCTCATGCCTCACTGTCCAGCACTTTCTTCTGTTGCTCTTGTATGATTCTAGTACATTGGGAGAGAGCCTTGAGGCCTTCTGGATCAACTCACCTCCAAGAACCTCTCTTTGTTGGGTTTGTACTCTGATTCAAAGCAGCACAGGTTTTCAGTGATCTGCCCAAACACCATGTTTCCCATAAACTATGTTATTTTTAGTGTACAGTTTTCCAAAATTGAGTCTGGAGAAACATATGCATGTTAGAGTAAAAACATCTGGACTTCCCTTGGGAAAATGCTCTGTAGTTAAAGCTTTTTATTTATTTCTTTGGTAGGGGAGGAAGTAGATTAAAGAAAAATGTGGGCTCATCTAGCCCAACCTGTCCTCTGTCTCACTGAATAGTTGAAAGCTGGTCTTGATCCCCTAATCCTCCTGCCTCTACCTCCCAAGTGCAAGAATTATAGGAGTTCACTAAGACACCCAACTTAAAAAATGTCCTGTCAGTGTCCTAGTTCAAGTTCAGTTCCGAAGGAAATAAATTACTAATCTTTAGAAAGGTGGGTTAAATATTTTCCTATCTACCTCTTATGTTAGATAATGTAAACATTGTTATTTAGTATGTTATTACTTAGCATAACACACAAGAAACCTGGTTATACATCTTGCTGGCTTAAGTCATAAAAGCCGTCTGTATGTTCTATCTTTGTAAGCACAATTTTTTAAAAAAAATACAGACTGTGCTCTTCTGAGGAAGGCTGAGACTGCAATATCAAAAATGACATTTTGTTTTATGCTGGAAATTGTCTTATCTTAAAAATAAGTAAAGGCATCAGGAGGAGTTTTTTTTTTTGACTAGTTTCATTTGGCCCAAATCTAAAATGATAAAATATTTTTAAAATAATGATTGTGGTTGCAATTATAGATTCTGGTCATTAATTCAATTCCTGTTAGTTTCAGACCCTCATTACCCCCCAATCACTGTCTTTGCCTACAGCCTTCCCCCCCCCACAGCTGAGCAGATCAGTTCCAGCTCCCTGACTTCGTTCTTTGCTTCCAGATCTCACTTCTAAGGCTCTGGGCACTTTCTTGGCTCTGGGACTTAGTAAGCCTTATGATTCAGTTTACACAAATTTTGAATGTATTTGGAGTGGTCGGTGCTTTGTTTAGTTCAAGATCAAAGAGCTACTCGGTCTTGAATTACAAAAATACGGGATGTTATGTAACAAAAGCCTTCAGTGATGTATACATGGGTTCCCTCACTGCCCCCATGCTTGTTTAGAAGAATATTTTACTAATATGGAAACATGACCTACAAGGAAAATTAGCATGATTCTTTTGTTATTCTTTGTGGGAGGGGTTGTAATATAATTACATCATTTCGTCTTTCTTTCCTTCCTCAGATCCCTCCTATTTACCCCTCCTTGTTCTCTTGCAAAGTCACAGCCTCTCTTTCATTATTATTACACATGAGCATGTGTCTGTGCTCTTCCCTGGGGACGACTCGCTGCTCTCACCATCTGGATTACTCCCTCTTAAGCTTTCCTGACAGACCTTTGAGCTCATGCTTTCTTGGGTCACCAACTAGTAAAAGCACCTTTGGCTCAGGCCTGCTAACCATCTACCATTGTCATGTTGGTAAGGAACACATACAAGTCTCAGTATTGGTTAAGGTCTATAAATATGAACCAGCAATGTCACCAAGTTTGCTTCAGAAGCCACAGAGGAGTGTCTCTTTACTAATCTAAAAATTTCACAACTCTATTCTTCATTTTCATTCATTCATTCATTCATTCATTCATTCATTCATTCATTCATTCATATTCATATGATTTGAGTTCAGTCTGCCCAAAGGAAAAGGATATATTTATTTGGTGTTTAGATTTCAACTCAATCACAAGGAGATTGTGAGGCACATGTACAGAGGCAGGGATAATGTCGTGTAGCTGTTTTTGTCTTCCCTGTCAGGGTGGTGTCTGGTGATAAGGAACAGGAAAAATTATCATATGTGTCTAACAAGCAGGCTCAGAATACGAGACATGTGTTTAAGTCATACAACGATAGCTTCAGAGTTTGTTCTTCACAGCAACTCCCGTGGGTAGAGCGCTAACAATGTTTTTCTTTTTATATAAAGGGCAACCAGATTCTCAGTGGCCTCTCCATTGAAGAATATAAGACTACACTGAAAATAATCAAGCAAGCAATTTTAGCCACAGACCTGGCTCTGTACATTAAGTAAGTTTTAAGAAGCGACGCCCTCCTAAGTAGGTCTTGAAGATGTTTTCATGTCCACACTGGGAAGTCTTTATAGAAGCCAGCGTCCTGACACAGCTATTACCAGACTGGTAGTTTTTAAGAACAGGCGGTCAAAGCAGCATACTCCTTGGCACTTGTACTGCTACAGATGCTGGCACAAGGCTGTGCATGATGCTCTTCTATGGCTGTATCTCTGAAATTGCCTCAAGGGATCATGGTGGGTTCCAAAGGCCCCCTGTCTTCCTCTTTGCCCTCACTTGCCAATCTCTGCCCATTCATGATTCTTTTATATGGCCACCAAGCCGAAGGGGGCAGGCAAAGAACACGGAAAGTGATCCTTGTTATTTCTTTTTGTTTGACTTTTGTGGAGGAATGTTAATGTAGAACTGTGAGTGTTAACATAGAAGTTAAACCACTACAGTAGGCACGCACACATCCACTGCTTGCTGTCTACAAATGTCTATGTGTCTGCTTTGTGGAAATTTGGGTCAGTTCAAGAGGAATCAGGACAGAAGAAAATAGAGCAAAGTTCAGATCGTCCAAAAGTAATTTCAGAGTACACATCATCAAATCACAAAGAACTTGAAAACCATCACTTCCCATTTTTATGCCATGTGAGTTTCTCCTCTCTGTGTGGAACTTAGATAGTTAATCATACATACATAGTCCACTTTATCATGGACATTTATCTTTTGTTTGGTCTTGCTTCTCAAGATGCTTATTGATGCTGGGTACAAAGGAGACCTAGACACTGATGACCCTTATATACGTGGAATGACAGGAACTAGTATCTAAAACTTGTTCCTTGCTTTCAAAGCATGTCTCATCTTCACTGCCCGTCTTTTAATCTGCAGCAAGATGTGGCTGAATTAGAGACCTTAGACCCTCTCACCCCTATGTGCTTAGGAGGTCTTAAATCATTCTTGCCAACACATTTTAACTCACGCTATTCTATTTTTCTAAAATAAAATAAATTATGTAATTAAACAATTTAAAAATTATTAATTAATAAATTTGATTAAATAATTAAAATTTAATTAAATAATTAAAATTTTTAAATAAAAAAATATCCCTGAGTTGAAATTGTCATTATTTTTGATCTGAAGTTAATATGATGAGACAATTTTTAAAAGTTTCCATTGTAAGTAAGCCAGGAGCGTGAAGGCAGGATGCTGAGTGTGGATGAAGCCTTCAGGTTGGGTTCTGAGATGGGGACAGGAGAGATTCTCCTCAAGTATGTATTCCATGAGCCTTGTAGATCAAGAGAAAAGTAGCCGGAGGACTCATCATAATTACTGTGTTTTTCATATTTTTTTTTTAAGGAGACGAGGAGAATTTTTTGAACTTATACGAAAAAATCAATTCAGTTTTGAAGATCCTCTTCAAAAGGAGTTGTTTCTGTAAGTTGGCTTTCCTGCTCATGCAAGCTTTGCTGCCCCGTTAGTTTTCTCTGAGCAGTCGTTAGTTGGGATCGTTTGTTAGATATAATGATTTTCAAAGTTGTCAACTGCTCCCAAGTGGAGTTTAAAGAGCTGAAAGTGGTCGTTGGCAAGGAAGGAAATGGACAGTTGCCTTGTTGAGGACTGACTGATGGCTACTGTAAGGAAATGCTGCATTTGTGGCTTCATTTCATGTTCGCTTCATTTCTCCCATCCTCTGGAACAGAAAAATTAACATCCTATAGTGTGTGAGAACAAGATGGTGGCCAAATGTCACTTCTCATGGGCCAGCTCAGCAGTGTTCTCTAGTGGACCCGCCAAGAGGACTGTGTTTCAACCTCAGTACACCAGTTCCTTTCTTCTTCTCACTGTAGATGATAAGGCTTCTGCTCCTTGCCTCTGTCTTGGCCATGGCAGTAACTTGTTATCAGTAAAACAGAACCAGGAAGGCACCATAGTCCCTGCACTTGGAAGGATCAAGGAAAATGATTATCACAAGTTCAATGCCACCCAGGGATATAAATGTTGAGGCCCTGTCTTAAACAATAAAACAAAACAACAGTCAGTAACTAAATGGCCTTGCAGAATCACAGACAGTGTTGATACGATGGCGATGTCAACATTTTTTTTAATAAATTGAGATTGCTTAGTCTGCAAAACAAATATGCAAATTAAAAAGAAGCAACATACAAACACCTGGCTGCCTGATCTATACAGTCACGCTTTCCTTAGCATCAACTTATCTTTCAGAATAGCACCTTCAGAATATTCCTGTGACTAGCTATTATATACTCTATAATAACAAAGAGTGAAATGCCACAAAGCTCCTAGTTTGAGCCAGTTTTCTCTTTCACAGAGAAGTTTGTAATCAGGGTCCTATGGTTTGTCACCTTTGGCAAGCAGGGTATACTGGCAAGCATGGTTGAAATCCATCATGAAAATTACTAAACGTGACTAAAAATGCCTCCAACGTGCTCATTCCTGTGGGAGAGTTAGTATTGGAGAGAGCATGACAACATTAGCCTTGAGAGGGTAGAGCCCGTGCTTTGGGTGCGGTATCCCTAGAGGAACAAATGATGCTTTATCTCAATTGTTTGTTTTGCAGGAATAGCCTTTTTGCCTATTTCTTTAAACAATGTAAAGGGACCATTAGACATTTGACTATGACTTGGGGGAGACTGTGCTGAAGTCAGACATTGGGATGTAGCCAGCCGCTAGAAGGCTTTTGTAACATCCACAAAGCTTGAGTTCTGAGTTAAGTCTCTAACAGTGCATAAAACAGGTATGGTGACCACACCTGTAATCCCAGAACTTTGGTGATGGGTCAGAAACCGAAGGTCATCTTGGCTATATAGAAAATTCGAGGTCCTCTCAGAATATATGAGAGCCTCCCCATCCCTGAAAAGGTGAGTTTTACCGCTGTGTTGTTTTATCCAAGGCACATTGTTATAGCCTAAGGACTGGGTACTTCCCAAGACTATCACCAGAGAAAGGCTGACAGCCTAACAGAAAAGACTCTCCAGCATATACTGCTCTACCGTGAAAAAGCTGTCGCCTAGAAAGCCCTGCAGGTGCCGAGTGAATTAAGGTGACCCACCATAATCCAGGACTGTCCTCATTAAGACAATGCGATGTTATCCTTCTGATTATTCCGTTCGATTTCATCTCACTATCAATGTGGAAAACCAGTGATAGCAGGCAAGCTTTTACGCCAAGGACAAACGTCAGCAACTGCCAGGGCAACCAAAACAGGGGCTGCGTCAGTCACAACGGCCAAGTTCCCAAATAAATACTGACTGTTCTTTGGTCTTCAAATTTTGAGTGTTCTATTGTTAAACAGGTTTTAATTTAACTTTTTGTTTATCAGTAACAACTTCCTGAGGATAAATATTCACCAGATTTGGGGGTTTCTTTCTTCCTTAACAGAGCCATGCTGATGACTGCCTGTGATCTCTCTGCGATTACTAAACCCTGGCCTATTCAACAACGGGTATGTTGTTCAGCGGTGATCAAAGCCGAACTAAAAAGTCAAAATCAGGAAAAAAAAATCTCTTCACTTAAAGGCAGCCTTGGACGTAAATAGACTGATTCCTTTATGTATACGAGGGAGGCACATACCTCATCACGTGTTTTAATGATTGTCAGTGTTTCATATAAAGTACACACATGTTCATTGCTACCACCTCTGCCACTTCAGCTGTGTTGAAGAGAGTGATGTCTCAGAGGCACTGGTGTTCATCACAAGTAGAAGCATCAAGCACCCTTAGTATTCTTCATCTTCCATGCCTCTAAAACCAGGAATAGGTGAGAAACACTGCCAAGTTCAGCGGCCAGCTTGGGATGGATCCTGACCCACACCCACCTCATCAAATCACCATCCTTAAATCAGGATTGGGGACACTTCCTCAGTTCTTGGATTGCTTAAGATTATTTTAACTATGCTGAGGGTTTTGTTGTTGTTGTTGTTGTTGTTGTTGTTTTGTTTCCATATGAAGTTTATTTTTTCAATTTCTGTAAAGAATAGTGTTGGAATTTTGATAGTGATTGGGTAGAATCTATTGACTTCTCTTGGTAGGTGGCCATTCCCCTAATATTAATCCTACCAATCCGTGAGCATAGGAGATCTCTCTATCTTCTGGTATCATCCTCCATTTCTTTATTCAGTGTCTTAAGATTTTTATTATATAAGTATTTCACTCATCTCTTTCTTGGTATGTTCGCTGTTTGTATAAAGGAAAACTACTGATTTTGTGTGTTAATTTTGTATACTGCTACTTTGCTGAGTGCATTTATCAATTATAATGAGTTTTCTGTTAGAGCCATTAGGGTTTTCTATGTATGGAACTACATCATCTGCAAATAAAAATTCTTTAGATTCTTCCTTTCTTACTTATATTCCCTTTTCCTCCTCCTTCTGTCTTATTGCTCTAAGACTCGAGGAACTGTATTTGGTAGAAGTGGAGAGAGCAGATATCCTTGTCTTATTCCTAACTTTAGTGGAAATGCTTTGAGCTTCTCTCCATTTAGAATGAGGCTGGCTGTGGGTTTATTGTCAATTGGCTTTATTGCGTTGTTTTGGGTTCCTCCTATCTCTAGCTTCTTCAGGACATTTTCATGAAGGTTTATATTATACTTTGTTGAAGGCCTTTTGTGCAAATAAGATGTTCGTATGATTTCTATACTTGAGTCTACTTATGTGGTGGATTGCATTTATTAATTAATGTATGCCAAACCATCCTTGCATCATTTGGATGAAGCTAGCCTGTTCATGGTGGATAATCTTTTTGCATGTTTTTGAATTGGGTTTGCAAGTATTTTATTGAGAGTTTTTGCATCTATGTTCGTCATATGTGATTTGTTGCTGTGGTGGAGTGTTTGTTTGGTATTGGTATCAAGGTAATACTGGCTTTATTTAAAAAATGGAAATAATCCTTCAGTTTCTATTTTACAAAATAATTTGAGAGGTGTTGCTGTTAGTTCTTCTTTGAGTATATGGTAGAGTCCTTTTCTAAGTTCATATAGGTCTGGTCTTTTTTCAGTTGGGAGATTTTTTTTTAACTACTACTTCTATCTCATTGGATGTTATAAGCCTATTTAATTTATTTTCTTCTCAATTAAGTGTTGTTAGGTCATATACATCTAGAAATTCATACACTTCGTTTAGGTTTTACAGTTGAGTAGAAAACAGATTTTTTAAGCATAGGCTTAGTATTCTCTGAATTTTCTCAGTGTTTGTTGTCTCTCTTTTCATTTTAAATTTTTATTCTACCTTAAAATTAGAGTTATTTTATGTGTCTGAGTGTTTTGCTGGTATGTATGTACCATGTGCATCCCTGGTGGCTGTGGAGTCAGAAGAGGGTCTTAGATCTTTTTGAAACTGGCATTACAGGGGGCTATGAACCATCATGTGGGTGCTGGAAACCAAATGGGTTCTCTGCAAGAGCTCTTGCTAAGAGAGTATGAGCATCATATGGGTGCTCTAACCACTCAGCTATAGCCTTAGCCTCTTAGTCTCTAATTTCATGCATTTGATCCTCTCTGGTTTTGGACTAATTTGGCTAAAAGTTTATCATGTGTTAAGTGTTTGTTTGTTTGTTTGTTTGTTTTTAGAACCAATTCTTTGTTTCACTGATTCCTTGTATTCTATTTTAAATTATTTTATTTCATTGGTCTCATCCTTGGGTTTTATCATTGCTTCCCAGTCCTTTTCTTGTTTTTTTTTGTTTGTTTGTTTGTTTTGTGCTATTTGTTATTTTTTTTAAGCTTTCAGGTGTATAATTATGTGGTTGATATGAAGTTTCTCTGTTTTTTTGTTTGTTTGTTTTGTTTTTCTATGTAGGTATTTAATGCTATAAACTTACATGGTTCTGCACTTGTGGTTCCCCATGGACTTCAGTATATTGCATTTTCATTTTAACTCAGTTGTAGGAAGTTTCCAATTTCCTTTGATTTCCCCTTGACCTGTATGTATTTATTCCTTGTATCCATTTGAGAGTGTTTAATTTTATCTTCACACTTAAATATTCCTTCTAGTACCCTCTGTAGAACTGTTTTAGTAAACATAAATTCCTTAAATCTGTTTTTTTTTTTTTACTTTTTGAAAGTTATAGTTTGATTTCTAGACATACATCTTGGCACATGCATACATACACAGATAGATTGATTGATAGATGGATAGATAGATATAGATAGATAGATGGATAGATAGATAGATAGATAGATAGATAGATAGATAGATAGAAATCTTAAATTGACTATGGAAGTAAAAATAGATATAGTCCATTTAGATAAAAACAATATCAATACTCAGAGAAAGATTAATTTATTTTTGGTGACATTAATACTGTAATTTCTAGACAGGAGAGATAGCTTGGCAGTTAAGAGCAATTTCAGAGGCTGGGTTTCATGTCCCAGAACCTACCTCAGGGAGCTCAGAACTGTCTCTAACTCTAGTTCCAGGAGTTTACACCCAATACACACAATACATAGATAAAAACAAACAAACAAACAAACAAATAAATAAACAATCTTTTAAAAGCAGTAATTTTATTAATTAATTTGATTAATTTTTGGTGCTGGACATGAAATCCTGGCCTTGTACATGTTAGGCAAGCACTCTTTCCCAAGTCCTTGAAACAGCAACTGCTCAAATCTATAGACAGAACTACTTTTAAAACAAAATCATGATAAAAAGACTTCTTATAATTAAAACTTTATTATAAAAGATTTTAAAATAAAAACATGACACAGAGAAATTAGCCAGACTCAAACTCTACATGTGATGGCTAATCTTGGTTGTCAACTTGACTGAACTTGGAGTCAACTAAATCCTAAGGATCTGGGTACATCTTTAAAGGATTATCTTAATCTGATCACTTGACGTTGGAAGATTTAACCTACGTTTGAATCATTTGATGTCAGAAAGCATACTGTAAATCTGGGCTATACCTTCCGGTGGCAGACCAGAGAAGAAGGAAGCTTTTGCCTTTTTGCCTGCATGCCCTTATTCTGGCTGACAAGTTCATCTCTCCTACTGCTGAGGCTTCCCTTCACAGGCATTGCAACTTACTTCTTCAATATTCCAACACAGACCAAAGATCAGCTGAGGCACCCAACCTTGTAGACTGAACAAATACTGGATTCTTGGGAAGCAGCCACTGTTAGACTATTTGTATCCCAGCCTGTCTGTAAGCCACTCTAATAAAGGCCATTGGAAACATTTAAATGGAATATATATACATATTCATATTCCATCAGCTCTGTTCCTCCAAGGAAACCTGACTAGTACAGATTGTGGTACCAGGAGTGATTCTACAGAAAATACAGTAAAGGAAGATTTTTTAAAAATTTGTGGAGCAGACCTACAGTTTCTGGAGCCTCCTAGAAGCTTGGAGAGCACTGAGAATTCACAGTGTGAAATATTTGAGGAATGTGCTGAGAGAAATCCATTTCCTTATTCTGATTGGCCTATTAGGGAAGAGCAAGGAATTTACTGACTCCATGCATAAAACTTTTGACAATTTGTAGAAAAATAAGACAAATAACGGGAGCCATCTGGGTTGCTTCTAGCACCTCTGGACTTATTAACAAAAGAAAAAAGTGAGCTTCCTGATAAAGTTAACAGACTTCTAGCATCTCACTCAGTATACAGTAAGAGTAGAAAACAACAAACTCTGCGGTGCAATTCCAGATGTGCATAAACAGGGCAAAGGCTTCTAAGTGTGTCCTGGGAGAGAGCCTTCTCTCCAGCAGCCATAGAGCGCAAAGCTTGGGAAATCAAACCGAATCCCTCATTGTAAGAATGGCTGGATCACAATGAAAATTCGAGCTGCAACCTCAGGAGGTGTCATCAATTAACAAAGGGCACAGATGGGTAAGAAATTGGATCCTATAGCTTGAGATAGCAATGTGTAGGAAGACCCTACTAAGGCTGAGGACTTTGAGCTCTCAGGTTCTGAAGGGTTTGTCTCACCAGAGGAAGCAGTCTTGCCACCACTAGCAGAGGATGTATCCTTACCTTGACCTCCTGGAAAAATATTACTCTTTCTGCCATTGCCTGGAAGAATTAACCCTTCTCTGCCTGTTGATCCAGCAGTGACTTTCTGTGTAGGAGATGCCAGGCAAGACAATATTGATGTCTCTCAGGGCCTACCCATAGTTGCCTCTAGACCTATAGAGCCTATAGGCTCCTATAGGGGAGATAGAAAGTGTAGTCCGTGAGGAGGTATGCTATACCACAGAAGACCTTAAAGAGTTTGCTAATTCACTTAAGCAGAAGTCAAGAGAATCCACGTGGGGGTGGGTTTTAAGGGTGTGGGGTAATGGTGGAGGAAGCAAACTAGGTCAGGTTGAGTTTACTGATATAGATCCACTGAGTGGAGGCTCAAGGTTTAATATGGAAGCTCGCACAGTTTAGGGTTGTTGTTGTTGTTGTTGTTGTTGTTGTTTAAAAGGTGTCAGCGGCTGGAGAGATGAATCAGTGGTTAAGAG